GGGTTTCAGTCTGGGAAGATTCTTGCTAGAGGTTGTAGCTAATAAACATAGCTGAACTGATTTTGCATTGTTCCTTGGGCTAGGCCTGACATGAAGTGACATATCTCAGAAGCTGATGTTTGCATTCAAGGTGGTACTTCAAGTCAAGAGTGAAGAACAGAGAGAAGGGAAGTATGGTTAAGTCAAAAGAAAGGAGAGTTGAACTGTGAATAAAGGCAGTTAGAATGGTTTGAGTCTTCTTTCAGCTGGAGATGGATTAAACAGCATTGAAAATGACAGGGAAGGAAGAAAGAGAAGGAGAGCCTGGGGGACCTACTGCAGAAGTATTCTGGAAGTGGGCTTTAAGTCAGGCATTTCTTCCAAACGGAGTAGCAAAATTCAACCATGAACATCACATTTTTCTGGATTTCTCAAACACCTCCAAACAGTCTGACCACCCCAAGCTGAGCATGGAAGAAAAGAGTGGATGCAAGATGTGGACACCTTACTTGTCCAGTTAAAAATAGACCAGGAAGTTGTTGTTTCAAGACATGTGTAAACCAAGAGGTCTGTTCAAGTAGCGGCTTGCAGGCTAGTCACCTCTTGGCTCTCTTCTTGCTGTATCTTCCAATCGGTTTGGATTTACGAGCCCATGACTCAGGCTGCCTGTCTGACAGGGAGGCAACCCTGTGCTGTTGTCAAACAGAATTCAGCATCTTCTGGCAGAAAATGCTGAGATTTCATGCTCCTGGAGAAGGTGAGAGGTTGCAGCCGGCAAGACACACAAATGCAACCCCAGCTTTTCTGGGGCAGCAGCTTGGTGTGCAGTTGAAACATGGGCACAGTGAGCTTTGCTGATCTGCCAGTGAACTGGATAAACAGAGCAGGGGAACCCTGTTCCCTGCTGCTGACCAACCAGCCAGGAGAGGAATAAAAACACACATTCTTGATGGGCCACAGAATAATCAAGAAACCAAAACCTGGAATGTGGCTGCAAGGAATATGGTATGAGCTATTACAGGTGTTGTAAGCCCTTCATGTATATTATTTCTCTAATCTGTTAAATATCCCCTTGCGATCAACCCGAATTTCCCCCACATTGCAGAGGCTAAAAGAATATGGCTCGGCTAAGTCTCCTAGAATAGGAGGTTGAGTTTTGAACTAAGCTTTTCCTAACTCTTGGTTATTTTGCTACAAAAGCATCAAAATAGCACATTTGGCCAGAGGGCTGTATCCTGGCCCTGGGCATGGTCCTTACCTGCCAGTGGGGCAGGCAAACATTGGCATATGTTGGCCACTGTGCCAGAGCCAAGAGCCTGGAGCCCAGTCCCATGAAGGATGGTGAAAGAAGAGTGGATGCAAGATCAAACAAAGCCCTTGCCAACCCAGCTGTTTATAGACTGCAGGAGAGCATTAAGGGCCTGCTAAGTCCATCACAGTTTTTCCAGCTACTCAATACCAGGAAGAAAGTAATGATATAATCTTGGCAAAAGACTGAAGGTTTTAAAAAATGGATGTGATAATAAAGAGGAAAGGTGAAGGCAGATGTAACAATCTTGTGTTTTAGAAATGCTTTTAGAAGTCACTTTTCTATATTTATGAACACGGATTATGTGCCATCAAGTCATTTTCAACTCCTAGCGACCACATAGATAGATTTCCTCCATAACAATCTGTCCCCAGCCTAGTCTTTCAGGTCTTCCAACGATGCACCCATCACCACTGTAACTGAGTCCCTCCAACCTCGTTGCTGGTCATCCTCTTCTCTTTCCTTCCACCCTTCCCAGCATTAGAGCCTTTTCCAGTTCTTTTGAGACTTTGATGTTCCCCTGATATTGTGTTTGGAATGGGAGGGGGGGGTCCCCTCATTTTCCTTTTCCTTACAGCAAAAAGCAGCTGTGAGGAGGGAAGAACCAGACAGAGATGGGGCACCATAGTGGGAAGAAGGAGTAACCTCGAGGAACAGGAGGAAGAATTGCAACCAAGACAATGATCAGATAAGAGAAATCTGAGTCCGGGGCAGAAATGTAATTTAAAAAAGCGACTCAGACATGACCCTTCCTAGTTCTCATGAAGATGGGGGGGGGCACATTCAGATTTACAAGATTCTTTTACTACTGTATAACCTGATAATAAAAATAGCATTCGTTTGCCTGTCTTTGGCTTCCAAGTTTGGTCTACCTTGGAGGGCTGGCAGACCCTGACTATTTGGGGCAGGCTCCCATTGGTCAATTGCAGGGAGCAGAGTCTGGCTCCCTGTGAGGTCGGAACATACTAATACGGCAGGCCAAATCTTGCTGAGGATGCGAGGGGCGATGCCACTGGCTAGGTAGAAGAGCCCAAGGGTATGTTCTCATTCTCTCCTAAAGAAAAAAAGAAAGATCTCTCCGCCACTACTTGCCATTCATGTTAAGTCTCCAAACCACAGACCCCGAGCTCATATGGTGCACAGATGTTGCATGTGAGTAAGCATGTGGTTTGTGGTTCTGCTACCAGAGAAAGAACTCAGGGTCGCTCGAGTGATGAACCAGCCAAGCTGGAGCCTGAAGCCAATCACAAGGGATTCCCCGCCCTTGGGTCTTCTGTGGAAGAAACTGGGAACTCAGCTGATCCGCCTAGCACCAAAGAGCCCCTACTATCTTCTTCAGTCTCATCACTCCACCTGTAGTTGAAGAGAGCTGCATCATGTTTCTTGGGAAGGGCAGCCCTATAGGAATTGGGATCTGAGGAAGCACATATGAAACCAGTCAGTTATCCTAAGGCAGTGTTTCTCAACCTTGACAACCTTTAAATGTTTTGGGCTTTCAACCCCCACAAACCCCCCTAAACCAAGGCCGTGGGGGTGGGTTTGGTG